TGATCACAGATGAGCGATTTTGGTCAGTACTCATCAGGCGGGTGAAACTCATACGTGCGAATGGGAAACAAAGCAGTGCTGCTGGTTCACAATATGACATTCATGTCGCATCCTCAAAAAATGGCGGCTTATTCACAACTGACGTTGTCTGATTTGTCAGATTTAAATTTCCGACTCGATAACCAGTGATGATTTGTACTGCTTTTTGTCCAAATTAGTTTCCATACTTCGTTTTAAATCAGGTATTTTCAGCCGCAGGGTTCATATGCAAAACTCACTATAGTTGCAATGAAATCGAAGCCACATGTTGTTATTGAACAATAACATGAGTGCCTACAGGCTGGTGTCAGAGGCGCCATGGCCTCTTCTGGCAATCTGCTTTTACTTTAACGTTTGCATATTTAGCAAACTTTTGTGTACAACTTTGAGAATTTATAGGATTTGTCCCCTCCTGAGAAAATTGCTTTCTCGGCTCATCAAAAAATTTTGGGGGCAGGTACAATTTCACAAAAAGTTTTGTCTTGATGTTGATCAGCACCTCTGAGAAAAATTCCTGTGGGTACCCATGGACAATAATATTATTGTTCTAATAATAAAAGAAATCTGAAATTGTAGTAACACAATTCCGTTGTTTCCTAATTTTTTACTTATGCAGGTGACAACAAAGGCTGGGGAATGACAACATCTGGAAAATAATGATTTTAATACTGATTTGTTTGTAGAAAAATGTGTCAGATTTATATAATGAATATATATTTAGGTATTTGCAATACATATGTTTTTCTTTTGAACCTTTCCAGATTAGTAAGTAGAGTGATCTTATAACAGCTTGTGTTATTGACGTTGCTATTTTAACATACAAAAAAGCACTTTTCCGTCAAGATAGCGAAAAATGTTAATAACACATGCTGTTATAAGATCTCCCATATCCCACCAAATTTCTATATATAAAAGTATAGAAATCTTAAAATTATATGTAGAGCTGGCAACGTTGAGAGATATTAATGCACAATCTAGCAACCATGTCGCATCCTCAAAAAATGGCCGCTGACAGCCATACAAGCCACCGTGTTGCCTGGAATTAAACCTTCTTCAGTGTATATGTTTTGTGGTACCCATCTTGCGCTCATTGAGAGGTGTCGTCGTGGTTTTCACCGCTGTCGCAAAATGTAACAATAACTCAGGATGTGTTTTTATCACCATCGGTGGAAATCAAAGATAATTCTAAAATAAATTAAGACACTAATGTCGGGTTCATGCACAACTTAACGTAACCTAATTTAAGGATCAACTGTTTCTACACCAGTGTCCTCCACATATCACGCCACCAGAGGGTAACTAGCTAGTGATGTCCAGTGGTGGTCAAAGGTTTTGGTGACGTCACACCCATTTTTTTGACATGATTCAGGTGGTTTCGGAACTCGTCTTACCCTTGGATAGCCCTTTCCATACTGTTCTATGCTCGTATTGACGTAATTATAATAATTCTGTGGTGTCTCGTTTTCCACGACGATTTTCGGACAAAGCCAGGCGGTGAATCATCTGTTGTTTTTGTTTGAGTTGTTGACGAATTTGCGGTAGAGATTTGTTTTGGTGTTCGTCTTCCGGTGTGTTTTTCTCCTTTGGACTTTTTTTTGTACGATTAATTGAGGATGGCCATGCCTAGAGCAAAAAAACGAAAAGCCGCGCTGGTATCAACTACTGACCTTGGTGACCAGGTACCTGCAGAAGGCACCTGAACGCAATCGGACATCGCCAGAGGAGCGCCTAATCATGACGTTGCAGTAAGTATCCAAATCAGTTCATTTTTGCATAAATGACTAAATATATTGAGGTTATGGTCATTTTCTTAATTCAAGGTCACATCTTAAAATAAAGTTCAATATATTGAACTTTATCTTAAGAACCAACCAATCGGATCAGTAGCGTTGGTCAGCTGACCGCTACAGTTGGAATTAGAAGATGGGTTCGAGCCATCGATACTGTACAAAAGTCGATAGTCGATATTTATATCGTGATGTTTGATCGATTTTATATCGCTGTATGGGCAGATGGTTAGGTGATAGTTGTATGGAAAATTATTTGCGCTTGCTTACGCATGACAGTTTAGAGCTGAACATCGGAGCGGCTTGATAAAAAAAATCACAGATGTAGGTTAAAAATTATAATAGATAAAGTCAGTGGTCATGTTTACTTCATCCCGTAACAAAGTGCGTGTAGTAGTAGTTTCAGCAAAACATATCAGTATTGCTACAGCATAAAGTAGATCAAAAAACAGCATAAAAAAAATAAACATGGGTCCTAAATTGCCCCTTACCAAGATAGAGGATTTTGAAATTATATTCTGGAGAACGAACAAAAAAATGGAAATGATCTTAAAATTTTGGGCTTGTAGTACTGACTTCATAGCTGATAGATGTCTGAGTCTGTACCAGTAGTGATGTTGGCAAATTATAGCCCCTACAGAATAAAAAAGAGAATTTAAATCTATACCATGCCCCTCATGACATGTTTTTCCAAAACCTCACAGAACACTGTGAAGGTACTTTGTCCTTAACTACGAACCAGGTGTACACCTGGCCAATGCTGTGTATTCGCAGCCCACCAAATATGTTATCTCTTTTGATGTTTATTGATGTAAACCGATGAGTAGCACGTAACTTCTTTTTGTGACATCTGTACTGTTGGTAATAACAAATCCGGTAAATGGCCAAATTAAGAACTAGTGTTTGGTATCACCAATGAAAATTTGTTTACACACAGAATTTTGGTAATCAAATGTATACTGCTAGATTGGAAATTTATACATATGTACAGAGCAGTATCATCTGAAGGGGCATGGTGAGGTGACTATGTTTCTCTTTAGTGTTTGCTGACCAAATATGACACTGATATTATGCTAATATTTTTTTTTTGTTTCACAGTGTCAACATCCTTCGAGGAGACAGTTGGAATGAAGATCGTCATTTATTTTATGGACACCAAATTAATTGTCAATGACATCAGGAGTTTGTTTCCTAGTTTTACCTGTTTTTTTTTTTGTTGATGACAATTTTTTTGCCTTCACCCATTAACAGTGTGTGCAAAATTGTTTTTGATTCACATATCATCATTGAGATTATATTTGTATTCCAGTCAGTCCTCTAACTACAGATGTATTTATTGTTATTTTAGTATTTATGTTTTCGCAATAAATATACATGATCAATTAACAAGAGATACTACTTGTATGATATTGCAATGATCAGGTTCATTATACAGGGTAACTTCGAAGTTGAGTCATTTATTTTAACAGTGAGTAGATCTGATCAAAAGAAATGTTTTTTCCTTTACCATTTTTCTGGTAAAATTAAAGTAACAAAGTTATAGCCCTTTGGAAGTTTGAGTACCGCCCTGTCTCAATAATAATATCATGTGCTCGTGTTTGGCAACAACGGATATAATCCGCCTTATCGGTTCATCGCATCGGAAACAAAAAAGCGAAAGAATTATTTGGAACGATGTTTTTACAATTGTTTTATTCAGTTCAGTTATACATACAGTCAGTGTCGTCAGTCGGTAACGCGTGTGAATAGTGTCTGTTGCGTGGCTCAAACCAACCCCTCGTGCCTTTGTTAATGTAGTACAACGGGCTCGTGAATCAGGTGACTTAAGACCTCACAGGGGACCTCACGATCAAATACAGGTCCGCACTGAAATACTTGTCGGGAGGACACTTTATAAAACAAGGTAAAATTTTTTTTTTAATTTTTTTTTTATTTTTACACACATATTTTGGTTTATCTTCCTTCTACAATCATTATCTGAAAATTAATGACTCAACTTCAAAGTCACCCTGTATAGAGAAAAATCCAGATGTATTGTAATGAAGAATTCGTTCTATTATTGCTGGGACTGTTCAATAAATATTTTTTTAGTTATTATACATTTTTTTTATTATCCTGAAATTCATTACTAGCCAAACTGATGAAAGAAATACTTCCTTTATTGAGGATGTGTTATGCATCTACGATCATTGATCTGCCCCAATATCGGGAAAATCATCAGTCAGATTTCGTAATGTAAACAAATGAAATCGCCGGCACACACATTCCTGATATGTGTTGTCGGCATACTTTCAATATTTATAGTTCCACCAGATTTCCAGCCAAGAAAAGTGGCGCTGCAGGAAAATATTCGGATTCGGACTTTTTGCATGTTATTCGAAAAAGCCTCCTAGTAACAAATCTACATGTTGTCAGGCCCTAAATCGCGTCTCTAATTGTTTGTACAACTTTTTCAAATAAATTCCAAAAATTAATGTTTTCGCGTCATCAAAGGTAGTATTCGTTTTTCTTTTAATACTCCGAAACAAAACGATGTTTGACAATGTTTGTCAAAAGTTGATTTTGTACGAGGTGGGAAAGTACGAGGGATGTCTTTTAAGTTTTGCATATAGAAACATAGTAGGCCGCGCGGATCGAACGTCAGTACTGACTTAACTTCACTCTTTAGTAAACTTAAATTCAAAGTTTCACAACAATACGTGCAGTGTTCTCACTACAGTAAATCATTAGAAAAATGGAACTCAACCGAGAACATTTTCGCGCCATAATTTATTACAACTTTCAGAGACAATTATCGCAACAAGAATGCCTTGCTGAGTTACTGTCTGTTTTCGGCAACGAAGCGCCACATCAGTCGACAATTTCCGTTGGTATGGAGAACTCAGACGTGGCCGCGTGAGTCTTAGCGACGATTCCAGGGTGGCTGCACCAAAAACGCCAGTCACCCAGGAAAACGTCGATGCTGTGCGCAAACTCATCATTGAAGATAGACATGTGACATATCGCGAGATTGAGGCGTCCTTGAAGATCTCAAAGACGTTTTACATGAAGAATTAGGAGTAAGAAAACTGGTTTCTCGTTGGATACCCCACCTGTTGACTGAAGATCAGAAAGCAGCCAGGGTTGATTGATGTCAAAAAACCCTTGACTGTTTCAATTCCGGAAACTCAAAAAATGTGTGGAAGCATTGTTAGTGGTGATCAATCGTGGATTTACTGTTATGAACCAGAAAATAAACGACAGTCGGCTGTTTGGGTGTTCCAAGGTGAAGAAAAGCCAACAAAAGTCATCCGTTCTCGAAGTGTTTCGAAAAAGATGGTCGCGACATTTGTGTCAAAAGCGGGTCATATTGCAACAATTCCTCTTAATGAGCAAAGAACTGTTACTGCGGATTGATATACCACCATTTGTTTGCCAAAAGTCATCACCGAGCTTCGAAAAATCAACCCCGAAAGAAGAATCATCCTCCACCAAGACAATGCAAGCTCGCACACTGCCCAAAAAACAAGGCAGTATTTAACGGAAGAAAATGTGGAACTATTGGACCATCCTCCACATAGTCCCGATCTAAGTCCTAACGATTTCTTTACTTTCCCGAAAATTAAAAACAGACTGCGTGGTCAAAGGTCCCAGTCACCAGAAGAAGCAGTTGACGCATTCAAAAATGCCGTTTTGGATCTGCCAGCAAACGAGTGGAATAAGTGCTTCGAAAATTGGTTCGAGCGCATGCAGATGTGTATTAATCTTCGAAAAACAATAAAGTCATTTAAAACTAACAACCGTGTTGTTTTATTTTCAGATGCAAAACTTAAAAGACATCCCTCGTACAAAAAATTGCTTTTGCGATACCGAAAAATGACCTGAAAAACAAAAATGTTAATGTCGCGATGCTTCATAAATAAACATTAACACAATTGCGATACCTTTTAGGAGATACTGTTATTATAAATCTTTGTATTTAATTGTTATACAAGCGGACGCTCAATGAATATTCAGCGTGCACGAGAGATATTTCATCGCTCTCTGGCGTTCACATAGACATAGACTATACATTGAGCGCGCATTCAATACACAATTACTATGCAAATATTTACAATAACTGTACTCCCTAAAATGCTCTGTGGGTTTTGTCATTGGTTGGTTGAAGCATGTGTGAGATTTGGCAACTTCAAAATATTAATTTATCATATTGTTTTTAGGGTAGCAAATGGCATATTTTGAGTTTTCGCATTGCTTATATATATCAAGTCTAGAGAAAAGTTCTAAAGCTCATTTTTTGTTCAGAATGTCCTAAAAATCGCAAAATACTTAAAACAAAGCGAACAGATCAATTTTTGGAATCGGTTTAATAACAATTTTTGGAGCAATTTTGGTCCTAGTCTCATGCAGATTCTTTAACAGAGGTACTTGAATCAGATTATGCAAAAATCGGAATCGGAAGATTTTTCCGAGCAGATGTTTCGATATTATCTTACTACAGAACAAATAACTTTTTGCAAAGAAATTCATTTTCTTTTAAGCTAGTTGATTTAGATGTGATTAAAACTGTTATCTGCAGTATAAAATCCAATGCTTCTGGAACGGATGGTATCACGTTACAAATGTTAAAGTTATGCTTTCCAGTAATTGGCATTCATCTGCTACATATTATTAATATTTGCTTGGAAACTGGATACTTTCCCGACCTTTGGAAGACAGCTCTGGTGACTCCTCTGCCAAAATTGTCTAATCCGATATCCATCGCTGACCTCAGACCAATAAGCATATTGCCAATAATGTCTAAAATTTTAGAACGAGTAACTTATACACAGATTCTCGACCATCTCAATGCACATAATATAATCCCCACCCATCAATCAGGCTTTCAGAAAAACCGCAGTACAACTACAGCCTTGTCTTATCTCATTGATAGCATCATATCTTCCATCGACAGTAAAAACATGAGCTTGCTGGTACTATTAGACTTTTCCAAGGCCTTCGATACGCTTAACCATCGACTGCTTGTTGCCAAGTGCCACTACTATGGCTTCGATGAAGTTGCCTGCAACTTTATTAGGTCATATTTAAGGGAACGTAGGCAAAAAGTAAATATCAATAATCAAATTTCGACACCAAGGTACATTCAGTCAGGTGTTCCACAAGGCTCAGTACTGGGACCATTGATGTTTTTACTTTACACTGCAGACTTACATGATAACTTCAAGAATACACATGCTCAATTTTTTGCTGATTATACGCAGATGAAGTGTGATTTTAATGCCGACAATGTCCAGGAGTCCATGATGCTAGTAAATGCGGATTTGGATAGTGTTAATAGGTACTGCAGCTCTCACAACTTGAGACTAAATCCCTCAAAATGTTCTGCTATATTATTTGGCAATAAAAGATTATGTGAAAACCTTAAACCATTAATTCACATCAAAGTTAATGGGGAGGAAATTATTTTTTCTGAAATAGTAAAAAATTTGGGCATTCACTTTGACTCGGACTTACGTTTTAACTCCCATCTGAATAATGTCTTGAAAAAATGTTATCTATCCCTCAGGCTTCTATTTGCAAACAAACATATTCTGCATAGAAACATCAAAATTAAATTGTGTCACAGTTTAGTTATTTCTAAAATGTTATATGGCTTATCCATATATTACCCATGTTTGACGTCTATTAACGCAAAACGTTTGCAGATAATGCAGAATACCTGTGTACGGTTTATCGAGGGCCTAAGAAAGTTCGATCATGTATCACACTTGTATCGTAATCTTGCATGGCTAAGCGTTCAAAACCTTTTCAAATACTCCATTATCAGCTTTACTCACAGGATCATACTAACATCATCCCCTCAATACCTCAGCTGTAAACTTGTTCCAAGGCGTCTGTGCATAATCTTCAGGTTCGTAACCGTGACACCTTAACTATGCCAATACACCGCACATCACTTTTAGACGAACTTTCACATACAATGCAATTTTATATTACAATAGCTTAAGCCAGGATCTGAAGACTATCCAGTCCTCCCGGAGTTTTAAAACTCAGTTAAAAAGATATTTACAAGAATTGCAAAACAACCGCTAGCTTAAGAAGTTCTTTCATTTTCATACTTTTTGTATTTTTCATTAATTATTTTTCCGTTTCTTCATAACCTATTATCTCTTCTTCTTTTTATAGCTAAATTGGCACAAATAGTCCTATTATACTGTGACTTAATGTTTGTAGTTTCACATTTTTTTTTTTTGTTTGTTTTTGTATAACTTGTTTTTTTTTCACTTTTGTACGGGGTTAGATGGTGGAATAGCAGGTGCTAAATCTCGCCCCATGTAATGTACCATGTTTTTGGTCAATAAAGACGATTACTATTATTATTATTATTATTATTATTATCCGAGTTCTGTGACTGATTACCAGTGCATTGGCGCAAGCGTGTGGGAGCGGCCACTTGTCAATGTCAATGGTGGTCCGCCAGTCCACGTGACACAAAAGCCACAAAACACTCTTTCATCTGCTACCTTGACTTTAAACATATGATTTTCTTAAGTTAAGTTACGTTAAGTCTTGCATGAACCCACCATAAGTCGCATCAAAATTGAAATAAATAATTCTAGTCAAAATGAAAACAAAATGTTAAGTAAAATGTTCGAAGAGACCTCCTTCTTGGGTTTGACAGTAACCTAACTTATTGTAGAAGCCTGTGTGAACATTCTCTGGTATAACATATTCGCAATGCAGCATATTGCAGAACCTCCTGCGTCACCACCGCTAGGCAAAGCGGGTGATGACCTTCGCATGTGTGTTGATACACACTCGCGCTTCTCTCTCATACACATTCAACTCAAGCCGTCAGACAAATTTGGCTTTCCTATATATGGTGACTGTGTAATCTGGACGCCAGTAATTACTGCTGCATAATGTTACGGACCACAGTAAATACTGATCGTGTGACATTCGTTTTACTGTTTCCGAGATTCCAAAAGCGAGGGTCGAATATGAAACACACATATATATATATAGTTCTTTTAGCAAAATTAAGTTTATATCTAACATAGGTTCCAACTAATCCTAGTAGTTTCCCATCTAATAGGTATATATTATTCAACTTGTGGAGAACTCTGAATGAAAATTTTAATTTTTGTGAAAAATGTTTTCTCTAATGTTTGACTTGCCCCTCATGGGTACGCCCTTGATCGATCGTTTCATATTCTTGAAAAACTTCAGAAGTGGATCTTAGATTACAGCTGAGATAAGCAACTTCGAAAATTCCAAATGATTGGAGAGCAGATTTCCTGTCTATTAAAGAGTGTTATCGTTTTCAAGTTTGCTACATCTTCTTAACTCGTAACTTGTGAAGCGAGAATTGTGGTACCTAAGCATATCCACAACAGAGCATAATTCCTCTTGTGAGATGACCTGTGGTGGTATACCTATGGTAAAAGCCAAATCTTCAAGACAATTCTTTGACCTCATTCCATGGGACCACAGATGTGACCATGATATAATTACCAGAGCATTGCTAAGCACTTCCATCTCAGTCATGTCGCACATTAAAACACGTATTCTTAAATGGAGAATACATAAAACTTTTGATCTTTTGATCTTGTTTTGATTTCAACAGAGAAAACTAAATCGATAGTGATATCAGCGGATCCGAGACGATGTAAACTGGTCGTAAATAACAAAATAATAGAACAAGTGATGGAAACGGAATACTTGGGAATCAAACTGTCAGGCTATGGAAAAGTGGAAGAAGTACAAAAACAAGTGAACATGGCGAACAGAGCAGCAGGATGTCTCAACAATACAATCTGAAGAAACAAATACCTCACGACGGAAACGAAAACTAGAATATATAAATCAACAATAAGTTCAATAATGACGTACACAGCGGAAACAAGTGCAGATACGGCGAAAACACAAAGATTATTGGAAACGGCAGAAGAAAGAAATGAAAGTCTTACGGAAAATAACAAACAAAACTCTAAGAGACAGAGTAAGAAGTGAGGAACTACGAGCGAGATGTGGTATAGAGAAAATAAACCTGTGGACCAAAAGAAGAAAAATAGAATGGAATCAACACATAGAAAGAATGACAGAAAATAGAACAGCACGAATAGCAAGAGACAAATCGCCAAATGGAAGAAGATCAATGGGACAACATCAATTGAGGCTAAAAACCGAAATAAAACAGGCATGAGCCTTTTAATAAAGTAGGAAGAAGAAAAAGATCTTGTTTAGTATTTTCTTGGATTGCCCTTAACGAAGTCCCTTCTTCTCTTGTGGAAGGTAGATACTAACACCAACAATCTGGCAAACTTAAAACAATGACTTACGCTACTGGAATAAGACGACCTCCTGGAACTAGACTTATTGTTACCCACGTTAGTAGTTTAACAGTGAGGGTTTAATAAAGGACTCTTTGAGGATAAAGTCTTCTGAAAAAGGAGATTATGTGACTTACTTATTCTTCCCTTTCTGTGCATCATTACATGCATTTCTTTTATGTCTATCATTATATCAGATGCACTGTGCTTACTTAGAAGTTTTGATGTAGCTCAGATCAGTAGAGCACCCAACTAGCAAAGTAGTGCTATATAAGCTTTTGGTAAAAGAACCGTTCAGCCATAAAAGCTCTCTATTGTTGTTGCCTGAACACCAAATGCTGGCTTAATGTTGTGTGAAATGCAAATTTGCTTTCTGCAGCATATTTGCTCTAAAATTAAAATATTCTTATAGCATAGTTATACAACACCTTATAGGACTGGCTGTTGCATAAACGTTTATACAACTATTTTATACGGCATATTTGCACGTAGTCAAAATGGTTATGCTGTGGCATCCATGGTAACGTTAATAAAACAAACCCGAGCCTTGTT